GTGTACGTATAAATGCACACACACACATTTGCATATGCATATGTATATGTAAAAGAAGAAACAGACATTGTGATTTTCGGAACTTTAAAATATATTGCTCACTTAGCTTTCGTTAGTAACTGCTAACATCTTTACAGTGTAAAAACCATTAAAGAGATATCTGCCTTTATACACTATTAATCAATTTGTCCATTGCATGTGTGATAGGCCCATCCATGCTTTTAAAGCAACATCAGACAGCTGGGGATGAACAGCCCAAGCTGTGCTCAATAGGGGAGGAAGGAATCGGAGCATCGATTAACATGCCTGATGTAAAAACAACAAAGCTAATCACAGGTGGGAGATGGGTGGATGGGCTTATCATATGTGCAGTGGCCAAATTGCTTAATAATGTATATAGGCAGATAGCTCTCTAATGGTTTTTACACTCAGACGATGTTAGCAGAGGCTAACGAAAGCTAAGTGAGCAATATATTTTAAAGTTCCAAAGCTCCAAAAAAGAAGTTTCTTCTTTTATAACTACACCTCGAACTTGCAATATGTATATGTACATTTATACGTACACATATACATATATATATATGATCCTGCCAGCTGTAACTTGTCTGATAACCCAAGTTAATAAAATGTAGTTTAGAGCACTGGTAAGCAATATCATTAGAATGGCAAGCCAGATATTGCAGTCTCTCTGAAAGTTTGAAGGACAGAAATGTTAAGTATTTTGATTTGGAGGGAAATTGGTTTCTTAGGAATGAAGCTAATACACTTATTTTACTCTTAAATATATGCCAAATAACTATAGCTGAACAGAACTGTAAATACTGATGATGGGCTCCATTTCAAGCCCAAAAGTTTGAAAGAATAAACTTTTGATTCTGATGACTAACTCATTTAGGATTTTATAAGTACTTAATTAATCTATATGTCTATATGTACTCCAATTTAGCTTCCAAACACTTACCAAATCCTTTGTACATTCTGGGTCAGAAAATTCATTAGCAACACATTTCTGGTGAAGTGCTATAACATCTGCTGATAATTTTTTCACCTCCTCAAGTGTGGCATTTGGTACACTTTGAGCGAATAAAACTAAGGTACTGGGGAAAAAGCACAAGTGATTAAGAAAACAGTTTGTGAATAGCAACCAGTGGTGGGATTTTTAAAAAAATAACTACTAGTTCTGTGGGCATAGTTTGGTGGGCGTGGCATAGCTTGGTGGACATGGCTTGGTGGGCATGGCACGGGAAGGATACTGTAAAATCTCCATTCCCACCCCACTCCACATAACGGTTACTGTAAAATCGCCATTTCCTCCCGATCAGCTGGGACTTGAGACGCAGAGAATAGATGGGAGCAGGGGCCAATCAGAGGTGTTATTTACCAATTCTCTGAACTACTCAAAATTTCTGCTACAGGTTCTCTAAAACTGGTCAGAACTTGCTCACTACCACCTCTACAGTGAAGTTTTTGGTGCACTCTGAATTTGGTTGCTTGATTGCCCAATTAGATAACATCATCAGAGCACCAAAGGGCTCCATAATTCAGCCTGAACAATGAATATTTTCTTTTACTGGGGACATTTTCTACAAGCAGGTGGAAAATGTATAAAAGCTTTGGGAAGTTGCTGGACTCTAAGTTCATCTTGTTTTGACCTTGACAGTTTCATGCTCAGGATTCTCCAGCATTAGGAAAGAAAATGACTAGAGCAAGAGAGATATTCTCCCTTCTTAAGGTGAAAACAAAAATCTAATAAACCCTGTGACCTAAGATTTACACTAGGTCTGCCTTCTCAGTCTGTTTAAATTAGATATATTAACAAATGCTGAATTGTGAAGATTTTTATTTCTTTTTATGGGAAGAAGAAGAGACATTTTATGATGTTTTTATACTACTTTTATTGCAAACTATCACTTTAATTTTCAATCTCTTGTGCATCTTTTATTATTTAAATGTGTAATTTATAGCACAATTTTCTGGAATACTTACATGGCAGCAAAATCATCTGCTGATACTTGAGAGGCAAGATTGATGGTCCCGTGTTCATGTTCTATAAAGAGGGTAGTGAACACATTTTAATCACTAAAAGTCACTATTACTACATTATTGCAAATATTGCAAAAAGACCATGTAATCTTCAGAATATACACTAATAATTTTGCAAATTGGGCCAATAATATAAATAAAATGATTACAAAAACTGTGGTTTGAATTCCATTTGCCTTATAATGATAGAAAATAGTAATACATGTAATGCAATTCCTACGAATTCCCATTTGAAAACATTTTAAGTGATCTTTTTGGCAATAAAACAAATTGGTTTTACCATTTCTTATCACAAGTTGTTTAGATGCCTTCTGTCTGATATTTCTTAGTGGTACACTATATTTCTACTAACTTGATACGACTCTGCTTAGCATTTTGAAATAAGCTGAAGTTAATTGAACAAGAAACATCTTAGTAATATCCAGTAAATATTTATAGTATTATATTTTATTGCAAGAGATATCAGGATCTGGAATAAAGAATGCTATGTTTTGGGGCATGAAAAATATTTAGACATTCAAGATCAGTAGCACATAAATACGATTTTGGAAGTATTGTGTGGAATTTCTTGCCCTCTAAGTATTGCTAACCATAACCATAAAATGCAATCAGATTTGTAGATAATGATATAGACAAATCATAACCATCAAATGCTATATTTTATAGTTAATAATAACAAAACAAATATAATCTATTAGAAAATTCTTGGATAAAAATTCATTTGAAAATATGTAAGATTTATACAATTTGAATAGAAATAGAAAGGGATAGTCTGGAAACTCGACTGAAGGAACACACAATTCCCATATGCCTTTCCTCTGTGTTTCCAAAGTAGCAGTATAACCTCAATAAAAATCTGAGAAATCAATTGAAGACATGAAAAACTGATTTTTTTTAAAAAAAGAGAATGAGAAACAGAAAACATCATACCAGTATGCCGATATCTTCTGGGTAAGTTTTTCAATTCAGTAAAGCTTACCAAGCATACCAAAGAAATGAATATTACCCACTTCATGTTTCCAAATTGTTTGGGGGCTAGAGTGGACAAGGTAGGAAGAACACATGGGCAGATGGAACTTTTATAGTATATCGCCCTGGATCTCAGGGTAATCACCACCCACCTTATCCTGTACCCATGGAAGGTCAAAAGAAAAACATTTGTTAATAATTACTGTAATAAAATATTTTCCCATTTTGTTTGTTAAAGACAAGTATTGGCTCAAGAAATGTCTGCATTTTTTACCCCTCAGAACATGGATAAATAGACTTTTCGCTTATCACACTTCAAAAAACTAAAGTAAACTGTTATCTCTCTTGCCCTATAACCTTAGACCTTTGGAAATTTTGTCCAAAGGTGAATCAAATTGATGTGGATGGAGTAGCAGTTTTTCGTCAGGTTCAGAGCAAATGTCCATGATGTTAATTTTCAAGATTACACATCTGAGCAAATATTTAACTTTTGCAACTGACTCTGAAAATCTGGGCTAGAATCTACAGTAATAGAATAGCAATCATTATTAGTCCATGCACATCACCACATGAAGTGTGCCTGTGTATGTGTGATCTCTTCATTAAGATTTAAGAACCCTTAATTTATCATGCTGATCTAGTACTGGGTGATAAAGAAATTTTCAGTCTAAGGCTGAGAGAAGGCAATAGATGCAGACTCATACATCTGGCTTATCATGCATAAAAGAGAAATTAAACTTGCATATCTCTCTGTTGCTAATCCAGAGCTCTTTCTATGTATGTATATACTGTGTTTCCCTGAAAATAAGACAGGGTTTTATTTTCTTTTGTCCCCTCAAATAAACTCTTGGTCTTATTTTTGAGGAGGTCTTATTATTTTTGAGGTGCAAGAGGTGGTGAGCGTTGTCACCGCATGGCTGCTGCTATGTTGTGCATCGGTGGCCTGCTGCCCTTTTTGCGATGACCATTAGTGTGACAGAAAGGACATGGTGGCTAGGGTTGTGGGAGTAGCTGTTAGGTAAGGGTATGTGAGGTGTATAGGGAATATTCCCTCTCCCTTCCCCCTCCTACAGATGCGCATGCATTTAAATATTTTTGAGTAAGGTTTATTATCTGGGGATGTCTTATTTTGGGGAAAACAGGATATTTTTGTTATCATTATCATCATCATCATCCCAAATCAATCTTCTATGGCTATTAGATCAATAATTTTCAAGTTCTTAATTTATAAAGGAAATTAAGGAAATAATAATACATCTAATTATATATAGGAAAAATCCCTTGGACTGAAAGAGAAAGGCTTGCCCAAAGTTACCCAGATGCTTTCACAAATATGAAGCTTAATGGAGGTCATCTATTTCTCAACTTTTACTATCCAAACCCATTAAAAACAGGATGTATTGTTGATGATCTATTCCACTATGGATAAAATTGACTTAAAAACACACTGATGTACATACTGTACATACTATCACGCTATACACACGCACACACGCACACACGCACGCACACATATGCTCAAAATTAAAGGGACTTGTTTGTTATTATTACGTTTTGTAAGTTTGATAAATTTTAAAATAACAAAGCTAGAAGTTATTAAATAACAATTTGGTGTTATAAAATGCAGTTTTTTGAGAAGTCCAAAATATACACATGGCTTAATCAATAATTTAATGGACACTTGGTGAACCTTGTATATGAGTGTGTATGGAAGCATTGCCTTCAAACCATTTATAAAACAAATTCAATTTGATTTGGCATTTTGGTTAAAAAGCTGACATTAAAGTCTTTTAAATTCTTAAATTTCTCTAAAACTGAGTTATTTGATTAAACAGTCTGAAACACTGAAT